TACGTTTCTACTCAATCCTTCTGTATGGTACATATATTTACGAAGTATATTTATATCTCTCCAGGAAAATAGCAAGTGCAGATATTTATCATGGAACAATGGACAGGTGCTATTAAAAAAGGATAACTTTAAAATGAAGATAAAATAGTTGACTTACATCTTTTAGGTAAAAAAAAATCGTGGAACTGAATTTTTACTCCTAGCTGTAAACACTTATTGACCCATATCCAGGGTTAAAAGGCAGTCGAGATTTTTATTCCAAAATTAACGATATATTAAACCATATCTTACTATCACGATATCTTCAGTTCGCAGTCTTGGGGGTGTATGGAGGAAGTTCACGTGATTGAGATGGACAGACAGTCAGCGGCACAATCTTTGAATTTCTCAAACCACAGGTTAGTGTTAGAGTGTCATTTGTTCAACGCTTTAACGCTATCCATCTCCAGTTTCGTCTTCGATCGTCCCGTTTGTCCGTTTTGTGTAGAACGAGCTCCCCCAACTTTATATATTACATTATTTTCATAGTAAACTATATCTTACCATCGCAGTATTTTTCGTATTAAGGTGTGTCAAGAGGAAGTTCCCGTGATTGAGATTCACAGACAGTGAGAGGCATAATGTTTGGAGTTCTCAAACCGCAGGTTAGTATGTCAATTGTTGATTTGTTCATCGCTAGGATTGACAAAATTCACGCAGAACCCGTTCTGGAGATGCTAGTAGGGAGCTTAAGCAAAACACGACAACGACGGCAACGAGAACGTCACCAAACAAAAGGAAAACAATAGCTGTGCACGTGCGTTATAAATCTTTGTACAGTTCTTTGCCTTCCTCTGCAAAACAACAACGACGACGGCTAGTTTTTCATATCTCCATTTGGCCTTCGTCGTTGCTTAAGCTCCCTTGTGTCTTTGGCTTCAAATTGATTTCTGAGTACAATTAACATTAATTATGTAAATTTGCTAGTACTTGTGGTCATTGATTATGTAATAAGAAGACTATTTGTAAGAAGGCTATCCTGGCAATACGATCAATAAGCCGGATGAGAAAATATCTCTCGCATGACAATCTCAAATGCATCGTGAACGCTTTTGTCATTTCGCGCCTGGATTACTGCAACAGTATACTTTACGGCCTCCCTAAGCTTGAGCATGATAAACTGCAGCGAATTC